GAGGATTTATTCCTTATTTACTCTTAGGCAACCAAATGAGAGCTTTTTGGCACTTTGTTCCGACTTGTCTGTGATTAGCTTTTTGTGTCCTCTTCCTATTGTCTCACTCCCATTAACAGCCACACTAGTGACTTGCCATTAGTCATGTCAGCATCCATTGTGTGGCTCTGGTGTCTTAAGAGTCTACCTCATTAAGAAGTCAGCACTTCATCTCTTGTCTTAGACTGAAGGTTCTTCCCATTTCTTCAATCTATTGAAATTTCCTTTCTTCTTTTTGCATGTTGCCTGCTTCCTTGTAAATTGCTTTGTTTCTGTATTACCCCCTGTCTAGTTCATTATGACTGTCAAGAACTGTGAAGGCGCTGAGATTCTTTACATACATGCCAAGTTATCTGTCCTGCTGCAGTTCAATGGATGTTCACGATGCTTTACAGTTACTGCTGTTATTTATATTGTTTCTTTAACTCAAATCATTTCACTGGGCAATGCTAGTTGGGAACTGGGATTCCAAACTCCAAACAGAGAAAAGACACAGGCTTCCTAGCATTGGTATGCTTCTTTTCAGCATCTTCCCTTTGGTGAAGAATGTTAACATGACAGTGGATATTTTAGTCTTGGTAGTTGAATCCCACTTCTGGTGTTCAGGTGGCCTCTCTTGGGGAAATATTTGCCATTCACTCCTTTATACCATTAGGATGATTAATACCCAGGGTTTATGCGTCATCAACTGCTCTTTTCATCTGCTTTGAAACCTCATTCTAAAACCATATGTTTCTGTCAGTGTATTTATGGTTATATGTGTAGTGATGTAGGGGTCTAGGCATATGTGGAATGCTGAGATGACCCACAACTTTATTTCTGAACAACAGTTCATTTATTCTGTTCCCTAGATATGTCCAACACTGGCATTTGGGTAATAAATCCAACCTCAGGTTTTTTTGGTCTGTTTTGTTTTGTGGCCTCAGCAGGGCTTCAGGCTTAATACCTGGCTCTCTGCTCACGGATCGCTCCTAGCTGTGCTCAGGGAACCGTCTGTGGTGCCAGGGATTCAACCCCGGAGAGCCACATGGAAGGAAAGTGCCTTCCCCTCCTGCTACCTCTCGGGCCCAACCCCAGACTTTTTGATCTTCCGTGTAGCACATAACAAAACCATAGCCTATAATTCCGACATCTGAATTGTGTTTGCTATTTCATCTAGTATCCCTTTCTCCTCCAGCTGTTGTTTTAGTTATTACAGGACTGCAGGCCACTTATAGCTGAGTGGGGCTGAGTGTTATAGATACTAAATGGTATTCTGTTTACAGAGGAGAAAATGAACATAGATGAAAGTTAGAACTAACTTTTGCCTTGGCACAGGAAGTTAAGAAGAGCTGCATTGGGGGTATGGTGCTGCCAGCAGGTCAATCTGTACCTGTGAGGTGAGTGCATCAGCAGCCTGATGATGCCTTCAGACTTCCAGATACCCCAAAATCGATGCTGTGCCTTTGGCCAGACCCCAAAAACTTGGGGCAAAGTTTACCAAGAAAGTAAATGGTCAAAAGTTAGGTATGTGGGAGACACACCCACAAACCACCTTCATCTTAGCTATATAATTGGAGGCATGGCCTCTCTGGTTCCTGATCGAACAGCCATGATCCCAGAGACTCAGAAACAAATCTCTAAACCCAATGGCTTTTGGCAGAAATGCATCTAGTCCCTGCAGTAAGTTACAGGCGCTGGGCCACCCGAGGTGGGAATAGGTTTTGTGCTTTGGTCTTTCCCTCCTGGCAGCTTTGTGGCTGTCATCCTCCAGAGGCCACTGGACAGTCAGGTTTGGGCCCGCAGTGACGAGACACGTGGGGCCTCATGGGATGGGGATGGAGCTGGCCCTTTCCTCCCTACCCCAACGAGACCCCAAGTCGCCGCCCACAAACGGCTTCTCTGGCTCCTGATCAAGCTGCTTAATGGCCATGATCCCAGAGACTCAGGAACAAATCTCGGAACCCAGCAGGTTTTGGCAGAAATCCCTCCAGATTTAAGGGTTCAAATTTCAGACTTTTAAAATCATGTGGCCACTACTGCAGCCACGCGACACCATATATTATTCTTAACCAGCAATAGAAAGCAAATTGTCTGCTGTTGTCTTATCGGCAGATCTGAGTGTTGGGGTAAAATCCCAAATAATAATGGTGGGTCTGGTGTCAAAATATTGAATGTAATCAAAGTAGAGAGAGAGAGAGTAATGTGTAAATCATCTGCCCCACAGGTAGGGGGAGGGTATAGGATGGGTTCATACTGGGGTTTTTGGTGGTAGAGAATGGGCACTGGTGAAGGTACGGGTGTTTCATTGTATGACTGAGACTTAAACCCGAAAGCTTTGTAACTGCTCTCATAACGATTCAATAAATAAAATTATAAAAAATGAAAAAAAAGAGCTGTATTTGAACCTGTGGCTCTCTGCTTTTATCGTTGGTGTTCATAAAATGCTTACTATTGATTCTTGAAATTATTGTCATAAATCATCAGGAGCAGACGTTATTGTAGAGCTACAGTCGAGGCAATGGCATTAGTTTAAAGAGGAATAAGTCTCAACTAATTATTGAAATAGGGGATGGTTAGAACATGGGTAGAGGGAAAATAATTCAAGGAAAACAAATGAACTAAGGTACACAAATACAAATAAAAGGTATGTTCATGAGTAATTGACTATAGAAATAATAAATAGCCAAGGAGCTTGGTTAGTGTGAAGGTTTAGTCATTCAAACTTTATTGAAAAAAATACTTTAAAAATATTAGTTCTTGGGCTGGAGTGATAGCACAATGGATAGGGTGTTTGCCTTGCACTCTGCCGACCCAGGTTCGAATCCCAGCATCCCATATGGTCCCCTGAGCACCGCTAGGAGTAATTCCTGAGTGCAGAGCCAGGAGTAACCCCTGAGCATCGCTGGGTGTGACCCAAAAAGAAAAAAATAATATTAGTTCTTAGCTTAATTGGGTTTTCTAGAAATAATACTACTAATCTCATTCATTGGGAACACTGATTAAGGTTTCAGATAGAAATACATTGGCAAGGAAATAATAGCATAAAGTTCCCGGTCTTAATTATGGAGTTTTCAGGCTGTTCATTTTTATTGAGGTAGTTCTGCCCACACCAGCATAATTTGGTTAGTTTAACGTGTGACAAAATTGGTTCCAGCAGGAAGAATTGGATGTATGTTGAAATTCTGCCAAATTTTGGAGGAAAAATGTTCTTCTAAGCGTTCTGGTCATTTCTGGTGAAATGGAAATCTTGCCATGAAGTTGTCATTGGCAGATTTACAGACCACTGAATGTGGTTTCATTATTTACAAAACCACACCCCCCCCAAAAAAAACCCTAGAAATATGTGAAAGCATGTAACTTTGTCAAAGAAATGTCTTGCTTCTGTAGCACAGTAAAAACAAGAGTATCGGATGAGATGGGAAACTGATTCCTCTCCTCAATTTAGTTCTTTAGGAATGGGTTTTCCAACAAACATGGAATATATATAAAGAAATAACCCATTGGCATATGTAAATTTATTTGGCATATGTATCAAATTAGAAAAGGTGTGAAGAGCAGGTAGGTAAGCTGACCCCAGAGGTTAGGAACTGAAGAGGTGTGGCGAGTAGAGCTGGCCAAAGGAGAATTGCTTTTCAGAATTCTTATGTCAATTATCAGCTTGTAATGACAGAGATTTTTGAAGGTTACTTTCCTTTTCTAGCACAGAGAAGCAAATTCCTTAATTTCTTTTTAAGACCCTAAATTTGTTTGTAGCTGTGCCACAACTTAAAACATAAACAAAGTTTAAAGTTTTTTTTTTTCAGGTTAAGCTTTTATCAGTATAAGGCCAAATTCATACAGTATTTACCTATTCAAAGTATAATTGTATTATAATTTTCTCTGGGGTTTTAAAATCTAGATTCCTAGTTATTTTGGAGTGAAGCTTTTCCAAAATATATACACACTTTAATTTTTTCCACAGTTGATTTTTATTTATACAGTCTTATGTTGTATCAAGCTTTGTTGAAAATGTCTTCTTCTTGACATAGCAAAAAAGCAAGTCCTATCTGATTTTGAAATGTATCTTCATTAAATGACTAAAGCGAGGGACTTCTGATTATTTTTATTTAAAGAACTTTATAAGAGAAAATGTAAAATGCTTAATTTTTTATTTTATTTTTTATTTGTGGAGTTACAGCTGGAAATGCTCAGGGCTGTGCATTTAGGAATTACTCCTGGCAGTGCTCAGGGGACCATATGGAGTGCTGGGGATTGAACCCCAGTTGGTCGCATGCAAGGAAAGCACTCTTTGGGGTGTACTATCCCCCTGGCCCCATATGCTTAGTTTTTAAAAACTTTTACATTGGGAAAGAGATGAAAATTGTGAATAATTTTAGCTCACTCATCAGGATTAACTTGTAAGCATTCTCATCTGGGACTTGCTCTTTCGTACTTCCTCACCTTAAGGTTTCCATGTTCTCCTCATGAATTCCTGGACAATGCAGATGAGTTTATGATTACAGCCATTGCTGAATTTTGCCTAACCTATATAAATTACCACAGCTAACCATCTGAGATTTGTGCTTTTGTTGATGTTCAATGAGATTATTCCTTATTTAACATGTTATTTCCAGAACACCCTCCAGTACCATATGGAAAAGGATACGCCCTGTCGTTGGGAATTTCTAATCCAGAAAAACTAATAAAACACACACACACACACACACACACACTGTTGTGCAGAGTTAAGAGACTTAAGAGAGCAATAGAAAAGAAGTTGTGAGTATTTACTTTACAACTAGGAAAAAATACATAGTTCCATCTATTTTATCATACCAATTTCTTATTTCAAATGTACTAATCAGAGTTCTTTTGAACCAGAATTTCATCCAGCCACACAGAAATGGGTTAACACAAACATTCACTTAGGAAAACAATGAGTTAATTTTATTAAGAAAACATGAACTCTTTGTTAACTGTGTCTCTCCTTTCTTTTGCAGAATATAAATGTAACTGCTCTGCGGTTGGAAGCGTGGATGAGAATCGCTGCAACCAGACCACAGGGCAATGTGAATGTCAGCCAGGTTACTGGGGTCTTAGCTGTGACCTGTGCACGGAGGGCTTTTACCAGAATCACACCTCTGGGCTTTGTCTGCCCTGTCACTGTAGTCCACTGGGCGCCCTCAGCCTGCGCTGTAACAGGTAAGTCACAGAAACTGGAGGTGAAGTTAGTTTTATTTCAGTAATGACTTCTCTTGAAGACCACACCTGTTTAAATAAAAGAGATGGCGGGGGATGGGGTGGGTGGGCAGAATAGAGTCCACATTTTTGCAAGATATTTGTATATTTTTATACCTTCATTTTTATATTTGATGTCAAGGTTTAAAAGCTTTCAGTTTACTTATTTAGTTCTTCAAAAGCACCATAAAATTAAAGTTACCAACTTTTCAATGTGATGTAGTCTCTCCAAATTTCATGGGGAAAAAAAAACTATTAAGAAAGCAAAGTTTTCTGGAAGTGATTACTTCCAGGCATTTTCAGGGGGAAAATATTCAGTTTAATGTTCACTAATATGACACTGACACTTACTCTTTACATTATTATTATTTTTTGCTATATCAAATTATCCAGCTATTTCTTTGCATGTTTCAGGCTTAAATTTGGTAATATTCTAATTTTCCTAACTAGCTGGAGAAAGACTAATTTTACTTTATGTCTCAGCACACTTTAGGGGAACATAATTAGACTGATCAGGACTTGTCTGGAACTTATCTTTAAAATAGTATGCTATTTAAAGTTGACTTAATCTACTAGATTTAGTCTAGGGCCCCTAAATCGGAGGAATTGCTTTCAACTACACTGAAAGTAATTATTCTTTGATCTTTTATGAAGCACTTAGCTTTTTGTAGACCCCAAGTTAAAAAAAAACTGAAGAGCGAGTGTTATGCAAGGAAATAGTAGAAACTTCAGAATCAATCTAACCTGGGTGTGGAGTCACTTAGGAACATTGTTGTTTCATCAAGATATCACATTTCTCTGAGCCCATGTCTTCTCAAGATTGTTGTGGAGGTTGAATAAGCAGATATGTATGAAAGCTTAGCACACAGCACCCAACATATTCTGGTTTGTTTTAATTCCCAAGAATATATACTGCTTAAATGAGGGTTAAGGGGGGGAAGGTCTTACCCCTGAGCTAGATCCCAGCCTTGAAAAATTCATTAGTGGTGGGGAGAGGGACACACCAGACAGTGCTCAGCGGACTAATCCTGATTCTGTGCTCAGGACTGACTCCAGACAATACTCTGGAGTCCACATCTTTTGCCATAGATTCTACCTAGAAGTTGGCTGCGTGCAAGTCAAGCACCTTACTTCCTATATTGTCTCTCTCTGGTGCTCTAAGAAATATTTTTAAAGATTATACTTAGTAGGTATTTTGAATGGATGAAGTGATATTATTGTCCAATATTTTACCCTTTTTGGTCACTGTCACTGTCCTCCCACTGTTCATTCTCGAGCGGGCCCAGTACTGTCTCCATTGTGAGACTTGTTGTTACTGTGTTTGGCATATGGAATACATCACGGGGAGCTTACCAGGTTTTGCCGTGCAGGAGAAATACTCTCGGTAGCTTGTCAGGCTCTCCAAGAGGGGCGGAGGAATCGAACCCGGATCTCCCGGGTTGTCTACGTGCAAGGCAAACACCCTACCCGCTGTGCTATCGCTACAGCCGCGACACATGGTATTTTAAAATATTTGTTTCTTCAAATCCTTAAAACAAGTCCTTTTATACAGATTTGTGTATCTTATTAAATTATAAAAGTAATGACAGAAAGTAAATTTCAAATAAGTTTCCTAGTTCCAAATCCAGTGTCCTTATCACACTATGCCTTATGGCCTCTATTATGAGAAAACTGAGGTTAAGATTATAGTAATTGTTTACCACTGCCTATCATAGTGGGCCTTGAAATATATTGCCATAAAATCAAGAAGATAGAAATCATATCAACTATCCTCTCAGAGGAGATGAAAATGAAAATTAATCACAAACAGAAAAGATGAAAAACTCTGAAGCACTTGGAAATTAAACAACATAAAATAAAATGAAGGATTTTTTAGCAAAAAAAAAGCCCCCAATAAAAGAATAAAACAAATAGAATCTTGAAAGAAGACTCATTTTCTAGAAATGATTCTATGATTAAAAGATAAATAAATAAAAGAGTTTGTAATCTATCATTCTAGCCTGTCAGGAAGATCCTAGAAGTCTGACAAACTGATTTTTATTCACTTTTGTTTCTACCCCAGAGTCTTACCAATAGTAGATGCTTAATAAGTATTTTTGTAAGACTGGAGAAAAAAGAGATGAGTGCTGGGGTCAAGGAGATAGCAAAAGGGGTGGAGCATATACTTACTTAGTATGTGCAAGGTTCTACACTCTGTCCCTGGTACTGGATTTTCCCTACCTTAGAGCCCCTGGATATTATTATTTCTGATTAATCTTTTCCCCTGGCATTATTAAGTAGAGATAATAATCCATAGGTTATTTCTCTTGTATAGGATTATTTTAAGGATGAAGATAATACTTGTGTATATTTTCATAATCTACACTTGCTGGACTGGAGCGATAGCACAGCGGGTAGGGTGTTTGCCTTGCACCCGGCCGACCCGGGTTCAATTCTTCTGTCCCTCTTGGAGAGCCCAGCAAGCTATTGAGAAATATCCCATCATCACGGCAGAGCCTGGCAAGCTCCCTGTGGTGTATTCGATATGCCAAAAACAGTAACAACAAGTCTCACAATGGAGAGAGACGTAACTGGTGCCCGCTCAACGGGAGGACAGTGCTACACTTGCTAGACAAACAATAACAAAATAATAATAACAGCAATCATTTACTGAGCATGTACTGTATGCTAGGGTGTGCTGTGCTATTTGCTATAGGTGCGTTATCTCATTAGTATTTACAAAACTCTGTTGAGCAGGTAAAGGTAAAGGTAAAGGCCCTCCCGTTGATCTTCGATTTGCTCAAGCGGGCCCAGTAACGTCTCCATTGGAGACTTTGTTGTTACTGTGTCTGGCATATCGAATACTCTCGGTAGCTTGCCGGGCTCTCCGAGAGGGGCGGAGGCAGAGCACTGTTATTTTTCTATTTTTATTATGAGAATTTTGTTCTGTTGCTGTTGTTGTTGTTTGGTTGGTTTTTGCTATTTCCAGCTATTTTTAGGATTTAGTCCTGTCTCTGTGCTTAGGGTTCACTCCTGGCATGCTTGGGCAACCATACTGAGTGTTCGGGTAGGACCCCTTATTCACTGTACTGGCTTATTCACTGCTTATTCACTTATTCACTGCTCTGGCTCCATGATAATGAGAATGTGGATGCTTATAGGATGTAGTTAACTTTACCTTTGCAGACTATAAAAGACACACAAACCAGTCGAACTAACATAAGAGGTAAATGCTCAAAATGTGAAGCAGAATCTTTTCACAAATAATAGCTTTCCCAGTAGAAGATCTCTTGATAGTTAACATCCAAATATCCCATCAGTCATATCTCAATTCAGTGTGTTTTGGCTGATGATTGTGTAAGAAAACATTGTATTTATGTTCCAGAAACCCAATAAAGTGATGTATATTATGAACAAAATAATATGGTAAATCTTACATTAAATTCCAGTATAATTGGTAGAATGTCAGAATTATATACAGTTCCGAAAGCACAACCACATGGCAACAAAAAGAATATGCAGTGTTATTGCATATGAAGCACCTGTTAATGATTTGAGGAATATAATTATATTGCCTTTAATCTGAAAGTGTTGTTTTAAGTACTTTACTTCCTAGTATTGGCATTTGTTACTTATAACGAGGCATTAACTCTTTTTGAAAAACACTTTAGAAAGTTGGTGGTTTGAGGTTGAAATGTAAGCAGAAGGTGGAAGATATATTATGACTATTTTTTATTTTCATTATTATTATCTGGTGGGCCAGAGCAGTAGGATAGCGGGTAGGGCGTTTGCCTTGCACATGGCCAACCTGGGTTCGATTCCTCCACCCCTCTTGGAGAGTCCAGCAAGCTACCGAGAGCATCCCACCCACACAGCAAAGCCTGGAAAGCTCCCCGTGACGTACTTGATATGCCGAAAACAGTAACAGCAAGTCTCACAATGGAGATGTTACTGGTGCCTGCTCGAGCAAATCGATGAACAATGGGAGGACAGTGCTACAGTGCTATTACTATCTGGTACTCAAGGACTATTTTGTCTGTGTTGCTGGTAGGTTCTGCTGGCATTAGTAGGTAGACAAGCATGTGGAGCCTGAGGATCTGTCAAAAGTGGTAGAGAACATGACTAGCGTTTTTGAGGCTCAGAGTGTGAATCCTGCCACCACATGATCACCCCTAACCCCAACATTCCTGGGAGTGGTTCCTAAATAAAAGTAATGGTGCAGCTTTATATGATCTGTCTAATGCCAATGCATGATCCTTTGCATTGTCTTCTAACTGAATTCTAGCAGAATCTTGCCTTTTCTCCCATACTTAACCAGTGATGGTCATTTTCAGTTTCTCAGTGAGGGTTATTTTCTGTTTCACAGTCCCCCTCTTACCTCTGGATGTGGAGCTGACATAGGCATCTCTCTGGCTCCTTGGAGCTACTCCCAGAGTTCTTTCCAAGTTTTTCTCTTTTGGAATCCTCACCTCTGACACTCCTCATTGGCTAAACTAAGCCACCACATGGCCTTGAAGCTGCTTCTGCTCCAGGCCACTTATTTCTTACATGGGGTCCCACTGTTGCCTCTCTCACGCTGTCACTGTCACTGTCACTGTCCTCCCACTGTTCATTGATTTGCTCGAGCGGGCCCAGTAACGTCTCCGTTTTGAGACTTGTTGTTACTGTGTTTGGCATTTCAAAGACATCACGGGTAGCTTGCCAGGCTTTGCCGTGTGGGCGAGATACTCTTGGTTGCTTGACGGGCTCTCCAAGAGGGGCGGAGGAATCAAATTCGGGTTGGCCATGTTGCCATGTCTGTTGTAATTCTGGTAGATTCCAATATCTACAGATGATGATTCTAACAAGAGTTTGGCCTTTTGTTTCATGACCTCTCTTCTCAGAAGCTTTTTCCCATCCTCTTTTCTTTGTACTGAGACTCTTTATTTCTTTTACTTATACTCTATTTGTTGATTGTCTTTGGCCCCAGGATAGGAATATTACAT